CAGAAGACTACAGCTGCTTCCTGTCTTGGGCTGTTGCTAACGGGCAGAAATTAAATAAGTTAAAGATGACAGCAATCTTGTCAATGTGATCTCTAGACCTCAAGTCCCAGCCCTTGGTTGAATGTTAATCGCCATAAAGACCCTTTGCGACTTGCCACTATCCCCTCTCCCTGGTCCTGAAATTGCTTTCTTGAAAGTGTGTTTTCGGTGGTCATGGCCCTACACATAGTCTTCTCCACATCTCCAATCCAATTTTCACTTATCTTAAAAAAAAACAAAAAAAAAAGTCTTTCATGGGGGCAGGCTGTATGGGGCGCTATGGGAAAAAAAACAGAACTCCCACCAAGTTCATATGTAGTTTAAAATATTAATCAAATTACCAATGAAATAATTGAAACTAGGAAGAGTAGAAGGCTCCTCCCTAAAAGTAATGTTAGACCTGAAAGAAGAGTAGACCTTAGCAGGGTGAAAATGGAGGACACAAGTGTACAGAGCAGCGTAACACTTGTGAAGGTCTGAAGCTAGTTAGTGAGAATTTAGGAGGCGAAAGAAGTCTGGTATGACTGGACCTTGAAGAAAGAGAGCAAGGTAGGGATCATATCTGCTGTGCCAATGACCACTTACATATCACACGTTTTATGCAGAGAGTTTTGAGAAGTTCAGCAAATACAAGAATCTGTGGTTTTAAATGATTATCTTGTCTATAGTTACTAGATTAGAAGGGATAAGCTTGAAATGGGAGGAGCCATTGTAATAGTCAACGTGAGAGGTAATGGTACCTTAGACTATGACAGGAAATGTAATAACTAAAAGATCCCAGAGATCTTAGGAGGTAGAACAATTAGGACTTGCTGACTTGTTGAATATAAGAATGTTAGTAGAGAGAAGAGTAAATAATTTCATGGCTAAGTGGTGATACAGAGATACTGCAAATGGACCCACATGGATAAGGTCCTAGGCTCACATTCCAGGATCTCCTTGATCACGCCAGGTGCCACGTACCTGTGTAGTAGATCAGCTGAAAATCCTGTTGGGGATGTCTGTCTGTCACTGTCTCTCTTACTGTCCCTCTTCCTCTCTCTCATGGAAAGAAAACAAACAAAAAGATACTTTGATAGCCAATAATATAAGGAGAGGGAAAAATGACACAGGAGAAATAGAAGTTTCTTAAATTAGGATGGCCAAGTCCCCCTCAGGATATTTGAGCTGAAACTTGAATGAAAAGAAGATAATTTGGTAAAGATCTGGGGGGACAACATCCCAAGTGGCAACTGAAATGATTTTGAGGTTCATGACAACAACAAACAGGAAAAGGAAGGCCTGTGTGGCTAATCCATAAGAAAGAAGGTGAGAACAAGGTCAGAGAAGTGATAAAGATCCTTCTGATATCGACCTTATAGACTAGGGCAAAGAGTGTGGCAATGCTCAAAAGATTAGCATGAAAAACATGGAAAATATTTCGAGGTGAACAAAGAAACTTAACAGTAATAAGTAATAGGTTTTCAACAAAGAAATTGGAAGGCAGAGAAGTATTCTTTCAATATTTTTCCCATGTTGAATTTTTCTAAGATGCACAAATAGAATTAATACAATGATACATACATTCTACAATTTCAAAACATTTTAACGATGGTTTCCATGAGACGCTATTGTCCTTCATAGTTTTGCCAAAGTTCAGATGCCTGATATTTTCTAAAAGCCAAACTTTTCTTCCTTTGTACACACAAAATTAATTTGTTTTTCAGATTTTGCCAAATGTTTTCTTTGTGAGCCTGTCCATGTTGCTGCTTAGTTTGATAGATTTCATTTTCTAGGTACACAATAGTTTGCTCACTCTCGTAATTCTTACTGACTGGGATACCCAATTTGACTCCATTTCTCTCAATTTAAATCCAACCATGAATTGTATGATCTTTCCCTGCCAATTTAAATCTTTAATATGTTTCCTTAACTTCTGAAGCTTTTTTCATCCATGTTCAATCATATGAGCTACATTATCATTATGTACTTTCTAGACATTGTATCCATGCTGTGACATTAGTTCCATATTCCCAGTTCAAACAGCTTGATGTTCTAACTGGACCAAAGAATTGTTTATACATCTTTGCCATGTGATGGTAATTCTTGCCACCCCAAGGATGGGGCTGTAAGTTCACACTGTTTCATACTGAGCAATTCAAATGGTTGTCAAGCAACCAATCTTTTAAATTCATTTCTTATGATGTCATTTTCAAAAACTGACATGTAGTTGGGGGCATGAGGGGAGTTATCAGGTTGCTCAGGTAATTCTTACCTGGTTGTTATCTCGGAGTTTTCTCTTCCACTGGCACTGCAGCCATTCTGCACATATTAGACTCTTCATAACCTTGATCAAAATAAGACAGTGCATCCATCACAAACTCTAGCCACCAATCTGTGCCCACCATCCGGGGAACCTAAGGTTCATCTATGTTTTCTTCATATTTTATTCTGAATGACAACAGTTGATAATAAGATAAATAGGTACACTGAAATACCATTATTAACAAGAATGCAAAATCTAGCAACTCATTTTTTTTCCATTGACCTAAATTTCTAGAGGTAACAATAATAATAAAGGTAGTCAAGAGATACCTTTGTAAATGTTCTTAAAAAAGCAGGATTATTGGGCCAGCAGTTGGCATGGTGGCTAAGGGCACTAGACTCCCACATGGCTGACTGCAGTTCGAGTACCGCACCTGGCAGTTTGCTTTCTCACTTTCCCTCTCTTTCTCTCACTCTGTCCCTCTCTGGTCAAATTTTAATAAATAGATAAATAAGTAAATTTTAATAAATAAAAAGCAGGGTTACAGGATGTAAATGTCATGAAATATTAACCAAAATGTCAAATTGTAAAAGTTTAATTTTTGCACAATAAAGTTCGAGAGAACGTATGTGACCTATATGTTAAGCAGGGATGGCTAGACCAGAGATGATTATCTAGAAAAAGAAGTCATGATACAGGAGACATATTGCTAAATGAAATGTGAGCTCCAGAAGTAGGATTGGTATGTGTTTTAGATTATGTTTTCCTAGAAAGAAATATTACTACTTGCCTTATTAATTTCAGGCTTGATGAGATCATTCGCTTTAGTAGCAAATGAGATGTGAGAAGTAAATGTGTTATGCACAAGTCAAAGCTTTAGAGGCTGACATATGCCATTTTCCTTCTTCCCTTTGCTGCAATGTCAATGGTGTTCTAGATGGAGGTTGCTCTACCAGCTTGGGTGTCAGGGTGAGAACTAGTTGGAACAGAGCCATTGCTGATCTGCAGTCGACATATATTGAGAATAAGAAATAAACCTTTTTTTTCAAGTCACCATATGTGGAAGTATTAATAGTTTGTTAACATGGTGTAATGTAGCCCACCTTACTAAAGTCAGACTTTGGTACTGAAACTGTGGTGCCATGTTATGATTAAAATCCTGGACCACCCTGTAGCATAGTAGGTAACTGCTATGCATAGAAGGCCAGGTCCTCCACATGACTGACAGTGTTTTGAATCTGGGTCAGCAGAGCAGTGTGGCCAGATGCCTTTGGGGGGATGCATTCTCTCTCTCTCTCTCTCTCTCTCTCTCTCTCTCTCTCTTTCTCTCTCTCTCTCTTTTCTGTGGTGATAAAAATCCTAAAATATGTAGCATTGATCCAGGCAACAGGTGACTAAGTAATTATTACCAAAGGCTAGAAGGATGACAATTGATACAATTCAGTGCTGGAACATTTGTTGAGACACTTAGTCCAATTAATTGGAAAGCAATTAATGTTTCTGATGAGCTCAAAGACTGCAGTGAAATGACAGAGAGTATGTTAAGTACTACAGGCTACAGTTGACAAAGTAGTACAATAAAGAGATGGAGTCGGGAAGTATTGGGTTGTCAGAAAAGTCATGATGCATTCTTGCATAAACAAACACATCATGACTTTTCCAACAACCCACTAATTGGTCACTTTGCAAGCAGTAATGCAGGGAATAGAGCATGCACAATTTTAGAGACTTTTAGAGTTGGAAGATCTGACTGATTCTCACTTCTAGCTGTGTAAGATAAAAGTGAGAAGGCATTTGGGCTACAAAAGTCAATTAATCAAGAAATTGTCCTATTGGAAACCAACAGTTAATGTAATGGCTATGTCGCTGGACTCCCACGTAATTGACCGCGGTTCGCGTCCTGGACCCGGTGGCTTAAAACTCACGCCAGGTGCATGTGCGTGCGTGCCCAAGATCCCGAGAGGAGAACGGAGGAGAAGGGATTGCGGCGTGACCATACCCCCTGGGGAGTGACTTCTCGCTTTCTCTCTCTATGTCTCTGTCTGTCTGGCGAGCACACACGCCTTATAGCGAAAAACCTCTCCAAAAAAAAAAAAAAAAGAAATTGTCCTCTTCAAGAATGTGGCCATCATACCATTGTTAAGACATTTCAATTAAATAAGGTATCTTTAGTAAATCCTTTCAACTGAACAATTTGAAAGTCTGGACAAAAAGATGAGGGTATAGCTCTTCCAGCAAAGCCTGATAA